TTTTTTTTTTTTTTTTTTTTTTCCTTTTTGAGACAGGATCCTGCTATGCAGTTCAGGCTGGCCTTGAGCTCACTTTGTAGCCCAGGCTGTTCTCAAACTTGCAACGATTCTCCTGCCTCAGCCGCCCCAGTGCTGGGATTACAGGCATGTGCCACCACACCTGGCTTGGAAGGAGGAATCTTTTTATTTATTTTTATTTTAAAGAGTAAAAGAAAACAATAACAGAATAACAACAGTGAAGACAAAAAACCAAAACAATACAGGATTTCAAAACAAGATGATAGGAATTAACAGTGGTTGTTATATTATATATTGTTATCTTCAACGAAGTTGCTCAGATTACCAGATGCAAGAAGACAAGACTGATCAAACAGTTAAAGGCAGTAACAAGTAATAAAAAACACATTAGAAATGATACAGAGCTTCATCAAACAAGATGGTAATAATTCAGCAATGGCTGTTATATTGCATATTGTTGTCTTCAAGTTAAACATCTGTTCTGATTACCAGATATAAGCGTGCAAAATGGCTCAAGAAAAAAGAAAAAAACAAACAAACAAAAAAAACAATTTAAGCATTACTGTTCCTTTCAACAAACCAACAGATATCAGCAACACTTATCCCAACTATTCTTGTATATACATATATTTTTTCTTATTTTTTCTTTAATTTTAAAGAGAAAATATCAAAAACAAAATAACAAAAACATAGGCATTAACAAAACGTAAAAACAATAAAAATGATACAGAATTTCAAAAAGAGAGAGGAAATCAGCAATAGTTGCTATTTTGTATATTGTTACCTTTAACGAACTTGTCCAGATTACCAGATATAGGCATTCAAGATGGATCAAAAAAAAGTTAAACGTTAACTGTTTAGAAGGAGGAATCTTACATTCAAGGCCAACCTGGGCAATTTAGCAAGCCCTGTCTCAAAATAAAAAATAAAAAGGGCTGGAGCTGTATCTCAGTGGTACAGTGGCCAGGGTTCAAGCCCCACTACCACAAAAACAAATTTTAAAAGCCAACTTACTTCTTTCTATTTTCAATTTTGAAATGCACAGTAAAACTGAAAGACTACATGAACACTTTTACATCCTTTATTTAAATTTACTATTATCTTTCCCACCTGGTTTGCCTCCCACGTCCACATATATACCCACTGCCTCATACATGCATACATACACATACATACATAATCTTTTGCCAAAAATAAATGACAGGTTTCATGTACAGATTTCACTTTACCTGTAATTTCCTCAGTATATGTTTCCCAAGTAGAGGGACATTATTCTGTACCATTGTATATCATTACCATAAATGAGATAGAAATCAGCAGCAGTTCAGTACTGTCATTCCCACGTGCTGTCCATAACTCCCATTTCCCCTAACATCCAAAAATATCTTTTGCAGCTCCTTCTCCATATTCAAGATCCAATCAAGGTTTAGCCCTTGCATTTGACTCTTGTGAAAAGTACAAAGCAGCATTACATATTCTGTAGTTGTCATTGTCTTCATATCATTAGGTTTAATTTTCCAGCAAGACCATTATGTAGACCACATTACATCAAGAGACATATAAACCCAGGCTACAAATGGCTAAATTGAACAACTTAGTAATATGAATACCAACCAGATCTCTCCATTTTATATAAAGGTACAATTTCCTTTTATATGTTAATCTGTGGAGTGATGGAATTCTGATTTTTTTATTGTGATAAAAATATATATCATAAAATTTGCCATTTTAGACTTTTTTAAGTGTAGAATTCAGTGGCTTTAGTTATTTATGTCATGCAGCTAGTTCCAAGACTTTTTTTGTCATGTCTAGTTCCAAGACTTTTTGTCATTCCAACCACTTTGTACCATTAAATAATACCCTCCCACACTGAGAACCTCTAATCTATGTTCTATCTCTGGATTTGCCTGTTCTAGATATTTCACATAACTGGAGTTGTATAGTGTCTATCCTTTGACATCTAGCGTATTTCATTTAGTATAATATAGTCAAGATTCACCCATTTTGTAGCATTTATCAGAGCTCATTCCTTTTTACGGTAATATTGTTTGTACGTATATAATACATTTTATTTGTTCACTCATCCATTGATGGACACTGGGTTTTCATCTTGCTACTGTGAATAATAATGTAATGAACACTATTAGACAAGTATCTGAGTCCTTGTTTTCAATTCTTTTGGGTAAAGGAGTGGCATCACTGGGTCATCTAGTTAAAGTCTGTGTTTAGATGTTTTGTTTTGTTTTTTGAGATAGGGTCTAACTATGTAGCCCAGACTGGCCTTGAACTAGTGATCCTCCTGCCTCAGCCTTCCCATTGCTGGGATTACAGGCATGCGTCATTATGCCTGGCTGTGTTTAGTTTCTAAGGAAACTTCCATACTGTTTTCCGTAGTGACTGTAGCGTTTACATTCCATCAGCAGTACATAGAGATTGCATTTTTTCATGGAATTCTGTTTTTAAAAGAATTGTACAAGTTTTGCCTTTTCTTTTTAAATGTCATGAAAATAGGTGTGGCTCTTTTAAAACTTTTGGTATACTTTGAATAATAATCTTATTACTTTTATACACAAACTTAGACTACTATGAATAAGCAGAAAAAACAGGTCACTCCATGGAAATATCATCAGTATTTATATTTTACCCTTCTTAAGTCTACCCATTCTAAAATGAAATGCCTTGATCTTTACTTTTTATTGGCAATTGTAGTTGACCTATCTTATTATATTGTATTGACCTATCTTATTATATATCTATATTATATATCTGTTAATGTGCCTTTATTAGTAACTTTGAGTTACTCTTTGACTTTTTGTGTCAAGTCATATATACCCAAAATGAGTCCTAGTTTGAGGACTTAATACTTTGTGGAATTTCCTGATCCCCTTCTAGATTCTACCTGTTTCTTGTATATAACAAACATGGACAAAGATGTTTGAAATATTTAGAAGCCGAACTTTTCCCCCATAACAGTTAGAGGTGATTTGAAACTATTAAAAGTTTCTTTATAGTTGAAGGACATACTTTAATGTATAATCCTCACATTTCAACCTTTGGTGAGTATATTTAATAATGTCTAATTTTGTAGACTGGTAGTTTTATGAGTTAGGCCACTTCATTAATTTGAGATGATGTTACTTAAAATAATGGGTTGAAAAGTAATTTACTTTCCCTTTTTGTAAAAGTTCTAAAAGTTTAGGAAGTAATTCCTAGTTGACAACTGAGAAATATAAATTTATGTTATACTATTTGAAAAACAAATATCCTGCCTCCACAGAAAGTAAGTACACTGGGGCTGGGGATTTAGCTCAGCGGCGCAGCATCTGCCTGGCAAGCGTAAGGTCGTGAGTTCAATTCCCGGTACCGGGAAAAGAAAAAAGAAAGTAAGTATACTTTGGTATTAAACACAGAGGTTGTTTGGTTAAATCATTTATTAGATTTTTCTGATTCTTCAAACACCTGAAGAAGCTAAATTTTGTTGCTGCCATCGTTAATTGTTTCTATGAGCATCAGCTTTTCTCCTGTTGTATCTGAATGGTCAGATGTATTTTGTTATTTCTACAGTTGCATCTCTTCATATACTAGTAAATATCAAACAATTTCTCCTTGAAGAAGAGGCTATGTTTCCCATAGTTTCAACAGGGCAGATGCATTTTGTTTATCTTATGCAAGATCTCAGTAGGATATTGTGAAACCTTATGACTCGGCACATATTCAAACCCATATGTCCTGGAGTGATTTTACAGATACTCTATGTGATGTATTTAGTAATTCTAGCTCAAAGAAATTCAGACTGTTAGGGCTGAAAGTGGATATATTGATCTAGTCTAATCCCTTTGGCTTTATAGAAATTCAAAGCCTGAGAGAGGAAACAACTTATGTAATAGAATTTATTCATTTAGTAAACATTTACTGAATACCTGCCACATCCCATATTCTGTATTAGGTTACAGTGGGAGCAAAATAGAAATAGCTCCTGCTTGGGAGGATCACACAGGATCTCAGTAGTATGGAATGTGAAGTGATCTGACCCCTGTGCCTTATCCTTCATTGCCACAATTGATTCAGCATATCTAGCTGTCTGGGTGAACCTTACTTCCCTCAACATGCCTTTCAAACCTGCAGACTCCACTAGGCTTGTGATCAGTCATGCTTACCTGCTAAAGCCCCGTTATTGTGAGAGCCTAAATTGGACATGTTCATGGAACAGGGAGCCTCTTTTTTTAACCATAATGTGCTGAGTTGTATGCCTTTTGGTTACTGTTCTTTTTTACAATTTTTAAGATATTATAAAAATCTTAATATTTATATCAAGTTGATGGTTTAAAATTTGTATTGAAAGCATATTAATAAACCTGAAATGAAGTTTTAGGTCACTTTTTAAGAATTACCCTCCTTCAATTTATTTATTTGTTTGTTTGTACTGGGAATCGAACTCAGGACCTTGCACTTGCCAGGCAGGCGCTTGTGCTGCTG